ATTCAACTTAGAAATAAATCACTTCATATGTTGTTTCAAAAGAAAATTATGTTTCTCCCCTATATATAAGTAATGACCAAAGGAATTAGTTGCTGGTAAACTGAAAGGATGGCTTTCTCACTTCACACTGTTTCGCCAGGACATAATCACGCCAACTCGATTCACATGTTACCCTATTTTCTTACTGCTCACAAAATATTTTAGTGAGTCTAATATACTTAACATGCGTTTCAGTAAAGGAAAGATGATGCTGCAGGTAAAAAAAGGTGAAGTAATGAAATGCGTTTGCCACTCCATTGCCTTGAGAAGTAGCATAGGTCCGATAGAGTAATTATTCATCGGATTTCGGTTCAGACATAGAAAATTTGCCTTGCGCTAACCAGCAGTGAGACACACGACTAAATACCAGAGGATGAGTATACTACAGGCCAGTTCACTCCGTCCAACTGCAAGACGTTAGCGTTCAACATAGAAGATATCAGATAGCCACAGGCTTTTAATGATAGGTGCCTTTGTGGCATTGTTTGTGAGTGGTAGAACCACTGTTTGAGTAGTGGTGAACTTAGGTGCTGAATAAAACACAAGAATGGTTAGGAATCTTTACTGACTGAATTGGCTTGGATATGCTTTACGGATGCTAAGCTACTGCCCTCCTCATTGTGGGAAGTCAGTCAAAGCGGAGTTAGTTTGAAAAAGGGCTAAGGGTAACCAAACCAAGGCAGATAGGCATGCAGAAGAATGAAATGTCTGGATATCTGGGTGTTAGAAATGCTCCTGTTTAAGAATATGATAAGGGACTATTGATGATACAGTTCATGATGTGTTACAATGGTGCAGATTTATTCACTTTTTATGATTTTTGAAATATGGAACAGTATTGTTATCCTCCATCTTGGACGCCCTCTGCTTTCATACACTTCTTCCTACTTTTAGCGTTACTCTTCTATCCTTTATTTATTCGTATACTGCTACAAAGTATGTTAGTTTGAAGTACAGCATGTTGAATTATCTGTATATGCATGTTTGAGGATAGCTAGTCCGAATTTAAAGAGCTCTACATATGTGTTTTAGTGACACTACATTACAACTTCTTATCCTTTGAAGACTGATGAAAATAAAGTAACGGAACTGCTTATTTCTTTGTTTAGAAGACAGACTGCTAGCTTTCTCGTAAAGAATGTCCGGAATTTGCATTCATTTTTGATGACTGCTAGTATCTGACATGTTGCCATGCAAAGTTTATTCTGCATTACTAACATAAATGGTCATTATTTCGTCCAAACATTGTATGGAAGGAATAATTTTGAGAGTAATTTTAATTAATTTTCTTATTTACTGAAATATTTTTATACTTATTTGAAAGAAATAATAACCATTGATGTCAGTCATGCCGTAGTTAGCTTAAATGCCAACATGACGGATACTAGGAATCATTTTTGATAGTTTAATTTGTCTAACCCATTGGATTTCAATAAATAACAATCACAAGGTAAAAGAGAAGGAAGATGAGTCAGATACTTCTGAATAGTCATTTTTTGAAAAGCGATGGCAACTACAGCAGATGCACTGTTTATGATCCATTGTGTCGGGCGTTTTTCATCAATACACTAAAGTGCTGAGATAGCCTGTTCTTTCATCTTATCCTAGTAGAATAAGAATCAAGGCTGGTGGATTTCTGCTTCATTCACTTTGTGTTTTTTCTCTGTAGGATATGCGACAGTTAAGCCCATTGATATGATTTGTGTCAGTTGACATCACTTTCAAAACTTTTCTAGTGATTTTAAAGGCCACCTTAACAACGGCTGCTATACCCTTCACGAGAATGTGAGTGAAATGTGAAACAATATTTCCGTAAAAATGTACCACATTGTCTTTACCTAAAGATAAGTTATTGTTATATTATATTTATTCCTGGGATTAAAACCGCTAAGAAAACCCGTTAAATTGCTCTCGGTGATCAAGTAACTGTTCATCGGTTTTAATAAGTACGTTCAACTCACCATAGGATACGTATCCTGCTTCTAAAACAAAACTCTGAAAGCCTTTGTTTATATGGTTATGGAAAAAGGAGTTAAAGTCAAAACAAGTTAGGTAATTGTTTGGTACTTTTAATTTCTCGTCGCTATACAGGGTCAAATTGCTCAACCTCTTTTGGTAAATGAGCCCCTGTGGGAATGCCTCGATACCGCCAAATATTCATTTTATTGTACTCATCTTTTTAGCTTGCAGTGGAATCCAGGACTGACGTTTCATCCCATTTTGGGACTCGTCAGCTGGATGTGCCTGTACCTAGTCAATGATGTTGTTACCATTGAGATATGAGCCTAGGACCCATCGCTTCAGACACCAAAGTATTATACACTAGACCGTGAGGCACGAGAGCCACCTCTTGTACAATGGGTATCAGTTGTTGTTTGATGCTTGTAATGAATACAATATGACGAATATTCGGCAGTATCGAGGCATCCTCGTAGGAGCCCATCTGCCAATAGAGGTCGAGCAGTTTAACCCAGTATTTCAACGGAAGATTACAAATGTCAAACAACAATTGATACCAGTTGTACAAGAGGTGGTTCTTGTGTCTCAGTGGCCTAGTGAACAACTGTTTAGCATCTAAAGTGATGGGTGCGGGATGCGAATCTCTGTGGGAACAGCATCACTCACTGGAGTGCAGACATAACCAGCTGAACAGTGAGTTCCAAATAGGATTTAACGTGCATCCTGGATTCTACTGTACGTCACCATGATGAATACAATTTCGGTAAGTATATACTAGAAACATGACATAAATGTCAAATGCATTTTCGGGGTATCCACGCAAACTGCAGTTTTCTGATATATTTTTAAAAAAAAGATGTAATACAGTATTTTATTACGAAATAAATCCAACCAATTTTTTGGGGGACAGGCAGAAGGAATTAGTTGTACCATGATAGTCATAATCTCAGTTAACCTTGATGAATGATGTGAACAGTGTTTTAGCATACCCAAATCAACGGAGGAGTGAACTATAAGAATACATTTTAACATAATCCCAGCGTGTTTGGAAAGTTGAAACGAAATTTTTCTGAAGGATTGTACTGTTTGGAAAAACTAGAGCACCAATTCAATGTGATGCATTCTATGAAGTGTACTTTACTTTTGCAACCCCGGCGTATTACATCAGAACAAACAACAAAATAAATTTATATTAACTATGATCAAGATTTGATCGCATAGCATGGGAAGTATTGGGCGCTGGGTAAAAGGTTGACATAAGATATAGAGCCAACCTATATCTAATGTCATCAAAATAAATATTTTGAACTGTTCTTCAACATTTTGATTTCGCTAAGAAGACTCTTTTCAAGAGTATGAACTTGATATTAAGCTTCCAATTTGATGCTCAAGTATTTTACAGAGATGACTTTTCTAGTTATCCACCCTATTTGTCACATATGACAAGCATGAGTAAAATTTAGGTGAGTGATATTAACAAATGTGTCAATGAAGCTTATTCAACGTTTCCAAATAAGGCAGTAGAAAATTGGAATGAGGGATTTTGTTCGAATGTGAAATAAACACTGAACTGATGATTCCTCATGTGGGAGTAAGAATCAATTACTACTTAAGGAAGCTAAATGTGTTAAGAATAAATAATGTTGAGTAGTGTGAAGTTGGTTGTGCAAGTCACCAATGTTTGCCATATTTGTAGAATACTTAGTTCATCTTTTCTGCTGACCACAGAAGGGTACTAATGAAAAGTTCTTTTAGTAAACTTCTCTTCGTGAAAAAAAGAAACTATTTTGCAGGACTCTTGCCTTTTCGAACCATGTCTAATAACCTAAGTATTAGGCATGATCACGATGCAAGATGAAAACGCTGAAGAATAACACAAAACATTTTTTCATTTCGTTGGTTGTTCTAATAAAATACGCCGGGATCACCCAAATATAATACACCTTATGTGGTGAATTGTAAGCTCAACTAGTTGTAGATAAATAATGAATTATATTACGTAGTAGTCCAGTGGTTGAAATGAGCGTTTTAGAGAAATAAATGGGCTTAATGTAAGCGGAATGTCATTAAAGCATCTAAACCATCAAAAGTAGAGTCTGATTATAGTTCGGGCATGTCGCTTATTCAAACGATACACGTGGTCACTGCCTGATTATAATGCTAGCTCTCAGGTTTCCACCTTTACTGCTAGTTTTATAGCCCTTTCTTGCTAGGCAGTGGATGGAAATCAAGCGAACGTCGTTATTGCTTATCAAAGATAGCAATTGAATGGACTAGATATTATAATGGGTGATGCAAGCGACGTGACTTCACAGAACAGTCTTTGAAGTTAACCTTTGGTAGGCTGAACTAAGTAAATTCCTATCGTGTTTAAACATCTAAATACGCCTTAACTGCAACAGTAGCAACCCGCAATTAGTTGCAAGCCCTTCTAGGTGTTTATATATTATGTCTACGGTAATTACGCATAAGTCTCTTATATTTCGAAAACAGCTGAAGCAAAAATCCATTAGAAGTGATTGTAATAAATTACGAATTAAATAAGTAAAACATTCTAGTGCATTCTGTGCAAGAAAAAAGACAAAAACAACTGCACGTTTGTCAGCAACTGGTTCATGTTATCTATTTGCATTCCTTTTTTGAAGATGAAATTCCATTTCACTGTTGACTGTTATGAAACTAACCATTAAACTAAGGCAAGAAAAGTGAAGATGGTTGCAAGCCAAAACATAACTAACAAAGTAGTCAACCATCTTGCTGTAAAGATAATTAAATAAGTCATCGAATAACATGTTTTGTGGAGCAAACATTTTTGAAATGAAAATATGCCCTTCAAACTTGGAAAATTAATCATTCAGCGGAATGTTATGTTTTATCAACCTGAAAGAAGTTAACTGGCTATCGAATAATCGATAATGAAGTTTAAATGACTTTGTATTCGTTCATCTGTTGTGGAGTCTCCCTTGATTACTAACTCTGTCACATATGTAACATCGACTTACTTTTCTGACAGCATCTCGCCTATCCATCTGTTCACGAATTTTCTTTGGTAGGGCTTCAGCGAGAGAAATAACGTTTGCATTACTGTTCCTCAACCCTAAAATATAAGCACATTACCTGATATTTATTGTATTTATGAAGAATAGATTATACATAATATCACCTATGCAAGAAATCTGATCAATGCAATAGCTGAAAATAATTTTTTGTAAAAAAGTTCTCGTTAGGCACTTGTCCAAATTATGATGGATTGAAAAGATAAATTTCTGTCTACTAGGGTTGTGAAAGACTAATTGCAGGGATACTCAATACTCTATTCATTAGTATTTCGCCGTAAAGTATCTACTTCGTCTAGACTCAAACTATTTTATATAATATCATGATAAATGACCAGTTTTTTGACAGTAATCAAAGTTACTCAACACTATAAACATAAAGAAACACTGTTTAGGAATATCAATGACTAGATTTGAAAACACGATGCATTTTTCGTTACTCCATTTCAAACTGAACAAAGTTACGCTTTTATTTGTATGAATTACAGAAACTCTTCTTTGATATATATATATATATATATATATATATATATATATAAATGTAAAAATTCCTATCGAACTTTGTATTATGTAAAGTGATCAAAAGCTTGGAGTCATACCGACTTCATATTCCTTAATACTTACTGATGAATTAACGAAATATCTTTCAGTACATTAGACTAGGCAAGAAGTTTAATGGAAGTACCACTTTTCGGTGATTTCATCCTCTTCAACTGGACAATCACAATTCCATACGTCTTTGTTTCACCATATTGTAAAGTTACAAGCATCATATAATTTAACTTGGCAACAAGGATCCAGGGAAATGAAGATAAAAAATATCACAAATGTGATATAAGCGCATCGACACTGACATGTATAATAGATTAGAATAAAAAGTTGCATCCTTTGCAGAAATAATTGTCAGGATAAGATGTAATCAATGGTGACATGGGAACAAAATGAAGTTAATGTTGGGTTTTTAAAAAGACTGTAAAATACAACTAGATTGCTGCCATATAAAGAGAGTAGGGGAATGAGAAGGTTGACATTTGCAGCTATTGACTAAGTCCAAGGCAGGAACAAAGGTTTAAAAAATTTCTTTGATACACAAATTTCCAGTTTTTTATACATATGTGGTCAAGAGCATGAATGATATGACTGATTATCCTAGACATAACTTAAAGCAGGTTGTTCATGAGTTCATAATCCGCTTCAATAACTGAGATTAAAAAATTCAGATGGTATTCTAACCTCCCACTTGAAAGGTTTATGTAGTCACATAGTGTACAGACCTAAAATTCAATGCTAACGGTAATTGGCTTTTTATTTTCAAACTCTATATTTGGTGGTCTTTCATTTTCTTTCTGTCAGAATATATGAAAAATGTTACTTTTACCAACATATTTCTGAAGTCTTTATTTTTCTGTGATTCAATGGGAATATTTAAATCTTCGAAAAACAACATACTTCCGTGAATGCTTTTTCTAAGACCTCATATTAAAATACACTCGTAAGTCATTTATTAGGACTGGATAACAGCTCTCAGGAAATTTTCGTTACAAAAGAAATACATATCATACGAACTTTAGGAACAGCTGTTAGACTACTCATGTGAATGTCTCATTCAGCAAGAAAAAAGTAAGGAATTTTAAGCCAAACTTCTGTGACTGCTATCGACATCTTGGAGAAACTGAATAATTACACAGGTAGAAAAGTTACAACAAATACAATCTCTTTAAACCTTTCCTAACTACGACAGAAGAGCAGCAGTCTGTGCAGTTTGCATAAATATTGAGTATTATAATGTTTCGAACCTCGCCTGGTTAACTAGTTTACTAGTTACTAGCCGGTCCTAAGCCCGGGTAAAGAGGGAAGGTTGGGCATAGGGCTAGCAACCCTACCCCGTAAAACAAATCTAACCGCTAAAGAAACTTCAAAGCACAAACAAAATATAAAAAATGAAAACAAACTTATTCCCCGCTGGAATCGGAGAGGCGAAATGACGCCAGTTGGTGAAAGCCTTCGGGAAGCCAATTGGCCGATGTGTCTTCTCTCGATGAAAGCGAAAGTAAACGTGGGGACATGGAATGTCCGCACGATGTTTGAACCCAGTAAGGCAGCCCAGATTGCAAAGGAGATGAGAAGGTATAACATCGAAGTGCTTGGGATTTGCGAAAGCAGATGGAATGGGAGTGGACTCTCCAAACTGTCAACTGGAGAATCAATAATCTACTCCGGTCACCCAGACGCCAACCACGAGCACACTGAGGGAGTGGCTATCATGATGTCCTCAAGAGCATCGAAGGCTCTCATGCAGTGGGAACCAATCTCCTCCAGGATCATGACAGCAAGATTCAACTCAAAAGGAAGAAAGGTCACAATCATACAATGTTATGCACCTACAAATAATGCAGAGCAAGAGAAAAAGGAGGAATTCTACAGACAACTTCAGTCAACACTGGACAAGACGTCAGTTGGCGATATCAAAATTCTAATGGGCGACATGAATGCCAAACTGGGAGGGGACAACACGGGAAGAGAACTAACCATGGGTCGAGAGGCGCTAGGTGAAATGAATGAGAATGGAGAATTGTTTGCAGAATTCTGTGCATTCAACGATTTGGTGATTGGAGGCAGTGTGTTCAGGCACAAGGATATCCACAAAGCGACATGGACTTCACCAGATGGACACACTAAAAATCAAATCGACTTTATCTCAATCTCAAGAAAATGGAGACGCAGTCTACTTAACACAAGGTCAAGAAGAGGAGCAGATGTAGGTTCAGACCACTATCTAGTGCAAGGAACCTTCCAAATCAAGTTAAAAGCCTTCAAGGAAGCTGGTGATAGACCTCAATTCAAGTACAACACTCGGAAACTGAAGGATGAAACTACAAAGGAGATCTTCAAAGCAGCCATCAAGACAAAATGGGAGACATCGAGGGACATCCCTGAAGAAACCTGTGTGGAAGAACACTGGAAGTCTTTGAAAGCTATGTGGAAAGAAACCTGCACAACAGTATTAGGAAGGAAGAAGAAAGAAGACAAGGAATGGATCTCGACGGATACCTGGAAGCTGATAGAGGAGAGGAGGATGGTGAAGCAGAAGATAAACCAGTGCAAGGATGCTCAACGACAAGAGGAACTGAGCACAATGTATAAAACACTGGATAAAGAAGTGAAGAAGAGTGCACGCAAAGACAAAAGACACTTCTACGAACACTGGCAAGTGAAGCAGAACAGGCTGCAGGTAAGAGAGACCTGACGACATTGTATCAAATAACCAGGTTGCTATCAGGGAAGAGACCAACACAGATGAAACCAATAAAAGATGAAGAAGGAAATTTAATTACAAAAGAAGAGAAACAGAGGAAACGATGGGCCGACCACTTCAAGAAGCTCTTGAATCGACCACCACCTGCACTTCGTCCAGAAATACCACCTGCAGCCGCTGAATTACAAGTGAACATAAATCCCCCAACGAAAATGGAAGTCCTGAACGCCATAAAGCTACTGAAATGCGGGAAAGCAGCAGGACCAGATGGAATACCGCCAGAAGCACTGAGAACAGATGCAGAGACAACAGCGGACATGCTCACACCACTATTGCAGAAGGTGTGGAGGGAAGAGAAGGTACCTGACGATTGGAAGAAGGGTTACCTTGTCAAACTGCCGAAGAAGGGAGACCTCAGTGCTTGCAAGAACTGGCGCGGAATCACTCTCCTGTCCACCCCAAGTAAAATATTAAGCCGCATCATCCTGGAGAGGCTTAAAGACGCACTGGATTCAAAACTGCGACCGGAACAGGCAGGCTTCAGGAAGTACAAATCATGTGCTGACCAAATTGCAACGCTTCGTATCATCATAGAACAGAGCGTAGAATGGCAATCAGCTCTATACCTCAACTTCATCGACTTTGAGAAGGCCTTTGACAGCGTCGACCGAGAAGTAATTTGGAAACTGCTTCAATACTACGGAGTACCGCAAACCTTTATCCGCCTCATTCAACAACTATATGAAGATGCCACATGCCAAGTAATCCACAATGGGAAGCTCAGTGATGCCTTTGAAGTGAAGACAGGAGTGAAACAAGGTTGCCTACTATCCCCCATGATATTCCTTATTGTGGTGGACTGGATCATGCAGCAAACAGTAGGCAGCGAGAAGAGGGGGATACACTGGACGACGGAAAAGAACCTAGAAGACTTGGATTTCGCCGATGACTTATGCCTAATGTCACATAAACTTGAAGATCTGCAGGCAAAAACTAACAAGTTGACAGAAGAGGCAGCTAAGACGGGACTTCAGGTGAATATAGAGAAGACAGAAGTGATGAAGATACCGCACCACCACCATCAACAACAACAACAAACTCCAATCACCGTCAACGGGAGAAACTTGAAGGAAGTAACCTCCTTCACTTATCTAGGAAGCACTGTTTCAACTACAGGCGGGACGGACGAGGACGTCAAAGTCAGAATCGGAAAAGCAAGACAGGCGTTCATTAGCCTGAAACCAGTGTGGAGATCTTCTGCACTCAGCATGTGGAACAAGATACGGATTTTCAACACCAACGTCAAGTCAGTGCTCTTGTATGGCTCAGAGACTTGGCGCGTCACGAAAGGCATTTCCAATAAACTACAGACATTCATCAACAACTGCTTACGCTCGCTGCTGAAGATCAGATGGCCAGAAAAAATAAGCAACAAGGAACTCTGGGAACGAACCAACCAAGAACCTATCACGCAACAAATATGCAGGAAGAAGTGGAGATGGATTGGCCATGCACTGAGAAGGCCGACTGAGGACATCACGCGTCAGGCCCTCGAGTGGAATCCCCATGGGAAGCGACGAGTTGGACGTCCGAGGGTGACATGGAGGAGGTCATGCGAGGAGGAAATGAGAGGCTGTGGGCTGTCGTGGAACCAGGTTCAAAAGATCTCAGAGAACAGAGGTCACTGGAGGCGTGCTACTGAAGCCCTATGTTCCACTAGGAACCCAAGGGACTAATAATAAAAATAATAATAATAATTATAATGTTTCAAGGTAGGTAAAAGGAGGTGCATTACCCTACTTAGTTCCACTGCTTGCTTATTCCAGCCAACACTTTTTCTGACACCAAGTTAAGCACATACTAGAAATACTATAAAAGAATTGATGTCTAAGGTCTCTCTGGTGTTTCATGATAACATTGGTTGCATTATCATGAGGTCAGTTGTTAGTCGGGGGGGTTTTTTGATTACCATAATTCTAAACGAGGTAGTTTTACCTGCACCTGAAGTTTTTTCTACTTCCAACTACTAATTATGTATTTCTAATCCCGAAATGATATCTAAATAATTTTCTTAGAGCTTTCACTGCATGTACGCACGCTACGAATAATGATTTGTCTTTTAGTGGGCAGAACTTTTGGACAAAAGCATACGAATGTGTAAGTCAGAAGAAAATCCGAAACCAATTCGGTTTCCATCAGACATGATATCATTATGATATGGACGTTATCACTGGTTAGGAGATATTTACATTCTATTTTATTAGTTTATGACACAAAAGAACATTACTTTTATTGTTAAAATGGACCAATAAAGTGTAATTAATTACCTAGGTTTTCATGAGGAATCTCAGTTATATGTTTAACCCCAGGAGTTTTGCAGTAAGGACTTGAAAGAATACTATCTGAGCCATCTAGAATATTCGGCGTGGGAGCTGCATTTAACCTGTTCGATAACTTATCACCGCTTGTTGAAATTAGATCATCAGTTTGCATGCGTGCTTAAACAACTGATCTACAAAAAAACATTTTTGTGCATTAAAGGAGAATAAGCAAAGCAGGGACAAGCAAAATAGGGAAAATTTACGCATAAAAACACAATTCATTGAGTAGGTTGAACTATCTTAATGTACTTGACACCAGTTTTTCTTACAAGACCTTCAACCATGGGCGTATCTGTTTAATAACTGCATATAAATGATAAATTCCAAGAAAAGAAGTTACCTCTGGTAGGTAACATTAAAATGTTTATGTGCTGAACTTGCTTAAGTATTTGGTTTGTAATCAACTCACTTCTCGACGAATTTCCATGGAATGTATAAGTAAGAAACAGTGTTTGCTTGAAAATCACTTTGTAATCAGCAAACAGTAGTCACTTATTAAAATGCTGTGAGGTGAAACGAAACACTCTACGCACAAGAGATTACCTCTTCTTGACACTAAGAGCTTTAATTAAAACAGGAGATAGGTTTACTAATTACATTATGATTGGTAGGTTTCACTCTTAACTCGGCTCTCAATTCCATAACATTTGACAAATTAATCTAAAATTTCTGGATTTTATCACTTAAAAAAGAATGCAAACAGTTTTTGAAAACACGCATGTAAAGTAAAGGCTTGTCTCGACAACAAAACTTGGAAATTTTGTACCCTAAAAAGAATTTTTTCGATCATCATTCAGGTGTAGGATATATCTACATTTCCAAAATACAAGTTGTGTTAGTTTTCATCAGTCTTCCCACCATATACACCACTTGCTATTACAGAAAAAGCTTTATAAACATATTGTGAGGTAATTTAATCTCAAGCAGGTGTATACCAAACGCTTGACGAAACCGAATTTTTACTCATTCTAGTAAATTTATAGTATTTTCATAAATATCTTAGAGACATATTCATACTGATATTCTCGACTTTCTGAAATTAGCCAAAAGAGACAAGCCGATGTGATTAGCTCCTAAAAGTTCTGTTATCTAGATTGATGATGACTAGTGGTATCCGGAAGGGATTTCTACTACCACCGTTCCTACCTAACTTCGTCATAGATTTACTAATGGACGTAACCTTATATACGTCTGACCACATGGATTGACCTACTTCCTAGAGGTCACCCATTTGACTTGGAATTTTCAAACGATACTGTCCAATTAGGTGAAGACGCTTACAAAATGCAAGGTCTTCTGAACGCCTTGAGCAGAAATCTGAGTATGTTTTGCATGCGTTTCCCTGGCACCTGTCAAATGTAAGATAATACTCCAGAACTGGTCTGTTGCAAGTAATCCCAGTTTAATGATCGGGAGTGAAGTGGTGGAATGTGTCGACCACTTCACTTACTTGGGAAGTTGCATCAGCTCGAACGGGCTGGTTGTTGATGAAGTTTTAGCTCGTGTACAGAAGGCCCGTTTGACATTTGCCAACATGTTTTATATGTGGTGCCGATTGGTGAGATATCCGACTATCTATCAAAGGACAAGTATTCTGCGCTACAGTTTGTTCTGTCCTGTTGTACGGCTGTGAAAAATGGCCGTTTAAAGTAGAAGACATGAAGCGGTTGCAGAGCTTTAATCAGAGGTGCCTTCACAGCATTCCTCGCGTTTGGTGGAATCACAGTGTGAGCAATGTTGAGGTCAGATGAAAGGTACTAGGCAAGCCAGGGAAGCCGACTGAGGAGGCTGTGAACCTTAGTCGACTGAGATGGTTTGGACATATACAGCACACGCCGAGCCACCGCTTACCTCGACATGTCATGCTAGGGGAAGTTCGATTAGGTTGGAAAAGGATTTAGGGTGACCAAGACATGGCACCAGTTGATGAAGCTTTTGAGCTTTTGTCTGAGCAGTATATGGAGATGTAGACTTCTTGGTTCGGGTCCCCGAAACAAAAGGAATTATTAGTTGAGGACTGTTTGTGATATAACTGAAAATCGGTCACAATGGCGCAGATGCATTCACTCCTTGACATCTACAGCTTGAATATTCACAATAACCTTTATCTTCGGATTGTTTATTCTTACACAACTTTGTCTGCTTGGATATCACCCCTTTCTACCCACCTGTTTTTGTGTACTACTGCGAAGTGTGGCAACGAGCCAAAGCACCTGTGTACGAGGTTCTACGTCGGTCAGTCACTTAAATAAAGGGATAATAGAGATGAGGAATAAATATATTCAAGAATTAGTGGTAGATAAGGTTTGAATATACTATTGGCCAAGGATTTAGTGTTTGATTATAATTTTTATCTTTAAGGTCGTTTTGACAACTTCAAACACTATGAAATTTGACATATTTGTCATATTTTATGGACTTTCTTTGTGGAAACAGCATGCAGTGTTTAGCATGGTGCTTTAAAATTTGCAATGTTCAGAGAGATTTATGCAGCTATTGAAGTTACCGTGCAATTATCTTTGCATTGTTTCTTGTTAGTTCATTCCATGACACTGAAAATCTTTCATATGACTCAAGTACTATCAAACCTTATAAAAAAAATAACGATAAAAACTTTGTAAACAAACAAAGTAAGTTGACAAAGTTTATTCAAAAATTCAAAAACTGTCGTCGTCCCATTGGATAAAATAAGTGTATTTCCTTCATTCCCACCTATAAAATATGATACTCAAGTCTTGAATACAGAACTTTTGAAATGTTTACGAGTCTTATTTAAAGTACTGGCGAAGTACAAGGCAATAATGGATATGATTACAGCTCATTAGAGGAAGTTACTGAGTTTTTAGTTTAGCAAGACAGAAGATTAGTTGAAGCCATTAGTCACATTATACTACGCATGGACATAACCGAAGAGCATTCACCAGTTCTCTTGGAATAAACTTAAAATCCTACACTAAAATCAGCTCTGTATCCAACATCAGTCACAGGAATGCCTACCAGGCCCAACAAGACTGCCAGAGAAGTTCCTCAGGTGAATATCAGGTGGAAACTTCGAACTCAGCGGTATATTTTGGCAAAAGCAATTTAAAATTCATTTTCACACTTGCTATTACATATCGATACAGACTGAATTCAGTTGTTTTTTCAACTCATATGGGCGCATACGACATATACCATGTGATATTATTAGGTGTGAGGTGTCCAAAGTATTTTCATTCTGTATTTATCATGGTTCATGTAAGCCAGTGAATACTTGTGCATGTTTAGGAACAATGTTGATGGCCTGAGTAACGTTTTTTAGTGGGCCATTCACTCACCTACCATTTACGTAGTTACTTCTGAGACATTTGAAGGCATTATTTCAGATTATTAAGACAAGCCAATTACAAAGTAGACTCTCGGAGAAAATTTCAGACTGGGTAGCGTGTGATAAAAGCCATGCACAGTGCTTTTATGAAAAGCAGGGAATTATTTTTCGAGGTGACATAATAAAGCCGCAAAATGATGTCGATTTTGTGTGATAGCATAAAACCTTCTGACATCTATGTAAATTGCAACCATAACAGTTTCAGCTGTAACTTTTGCAGCTAAAATGAGTATAAAAACACCATTTCCAGAGCCAGTCAGTAGATTGAATGCATTGCAACATTATATGACATCAGGATTGATTTTTTTTAAAAAGTAATTCGCTGTGGTTACGGAAGCTTTCAGAAAAGCAAATGCTATGGTTTCCTAATGAAGCCAAGTCTGACTTCATTCGAATGCATTCAAACCCACTACTCCTCGATAACCTATCGTATTCAGATTAGGCGTCTTCCAGAGCTTTTTCTGACAAACTTTATTCAGTAAACGGACTAATACGTGGCGTCCATCAAAAACGGAAGTCACTTGAGATCTCAAAGGAAAGTGGTAAAGAAATTCCCAAAAGCTCTAAAATGCTAAGATATAAGAGACAGTTTTATTTAGTGCCAAAACACGTATGTTACCAAATAAAAACTCAACACCAAAACAACACATTTTACCTTGGACATCTTTATTGAAAATAAAAATGTAGAGGAGAAGAGCAAGATACCATTACATACATACCAACTTGAAACTAAATTTCTCCACGCAAACATGTTATGTTTTCGAAAAAAGACAACTATACTTATGTGTGTTTATTAAGCACTTAAACAACGACTGATACGTATCAAATGTCATACGCATATATTTCAAATTGAAGAAAACCAGAAAATCTAGCTTTCATACATTACGTTCGCTTTTAGAAAGTACAGAAATATATGTAGTTCTGTATGTGATGGTAGACAGACAACATAAGTTTATTATGTGAATGTGTTTTGTCTTTCGGATGAACATGTACCCACAGGTATTCACAAGATCTGTCGTCTAGTTAAAACTCCATTGAGATTTTAGTTATCCCACCATTTCAAGCAAACTGTAGTGAAAACCCCTTTATTTGCAAATGTGTCAACTAACACTGCAAAGAGTCTTGATGCAGCCTGATCACAGATGTTTACACCAACTCTTCAACAATTTCACGGAGCCTCACCAGTGATTTAGAACTACATTTTTCCTTCACTTCAAAAGGATGAGAACTACTTATAACACTTCCAAGGGCTCGCACTAAGTCCTTTCGTGAACAAAGTTTAAACCGTAAGAAGAATTCGTTACAGCACTGAATCTATGTCCCTTACAATGTCAGTAAATTAGAGGTGGCTTAATGATGACATTCCACATCCTACACACTCCAAGCCAGTCGCTCCACCGCTTGCTAAAACTACGCTTCAATAGTAATGTTAAGCGGAACGCTCGGAAGTTTGAACTTGAATAAATTGGGACAGCCATCTGACCGAACTTTTGGTGCCCTACAGTTGTCAATGTTTGGAATCCACTCCCCTTGGAACCTGTTCACGACCACAGTCCTGCAAACAAAACCTTGATGTCTCCGCAAATCCGCTGGGTTAGTTTACAGACTAAATCGTCCATAACCTGGTCATTTTAATTAATGTTTTGTTTCCCTCCTTTTTGTCTTCACACACAAGAATTGACGGTCCACTGATTCTAGATGCCGAAGACAGTTAAGTCAAAGCTGTTTTATTCCGTCAACAAACATCTGTAACCAGCTGGGATGTGGAGCAAATGGTATGTCCATTTAGGTCCCTGATACGCGATATTTAATATCCACATTTAGGACTAGTATAGATCAGGCAAATTTTCGCGTTCGCTTCCATATCCTGCAGAATAGTTATAGGTCTTTGTTAGATTCCAGTGCGGTAGATTTATATAGTCGCCTGCTGCAGCCTTCGCCAACTCTAGTGGTGGTTGGGTGTTGGTTGAATCTGTGAGATGCATGGTTTGTCCTTGGACTTTGCCACACAACGCTTCCCAGGGGCTTCGGTAATCCATTCTCGATCTAGGATACGTTCTCCATGTGAAGTAAGTCAATCCGCTTGTTGGTTTCCGACGGTGACTTCTCAGTTGACAGTGAGATAAGCAGACACCTTTTCAAGAAGTTGTGTGGGAAACCTTAACCTTAGAAAAAGGTCATTAGGTAGCTTTCTTCTTTCCCCTGCAAGGTTGACTTAATGCGGTGTATCTTTTTCCTTTCGGACAGTGTTTTTAGGCAGTAAATTTTGAGTGCTGTTGGGTCGCTTTTATTGTGGTTAAAGATTTGATCTGTGTGAACTGATTTTCTATGTACCTCTGTTCTAAATTTTCCTGATCCGTTCTAGTGATCAAAAGATCTAAAAATGAAGGCTTGTTGTTCCATTCCTCTACGGTTGTTGTCTGACGTAGTTGAAAATGTTGTCGATTACTTGGCACGCGTTTTCCGACGTGTCGCTTTTCATGGTGACAAGCGTGTCATCTACATACTTGATACATAGTTGTTGTTTGGTCAGTGGTAATGCCACAACCTCCAATGTTGAATTACTATCCCAGCAGTCGGCCGATTGATGTTCCTTCTGTCAGTTTGTGTAGTTTTCTGCTGAAAAAGAGGTTTTGAGGCATAAATTAACCAATGCTGCTGAACCTGAACATAATAGTTGCGTGCATTCCAAGGGATGTGTATCGTGTATCGGCGTATCGGTGAGGAGGACAATTAATTTATCCTCCACTATTTTCTGTTCATTCGAAGGGCCCTCATCACCATTCCTTTTTAACCGTCAGTTTGACTGCAGAAGACCGTCGGATTCGCTTCAGCCGCTAATCCTACAAAATCTTTTCATATTGTGTTAAGCTGGCCGAAAGACACTAAGTTAAATCGAAACAAATCAATACTAGTTGATGGTTGAGGGTGAAATGGAAGCTTGGACGGTAGCTGGACTTGAACCATGGACCAATAGGCCGCCGTCCTGGTGCTCTACTAACGGAGCCACCAGGCCCAACAGCCGGCCAGATTTTTATTCCACTTCGACCACTCGGGTTTTATTCGAATACCACGTGGATTCTCGCCCGGTTACTGTCACTTGATCGTATTCACACTGGCTGCCTAGCCGGGAGTTTTCATCACGCTTATCATCACTTGTGACTACCTAAAATAGCCGTGGTTTGACAGACTAGTACTTAGGCTGGGTGATGACTGGAGGTGAAATGAAAAGTTGGACCATGGCACAGCTCGAACCAGAGACCACTGGGCTGCCAGCCCGGTGCTCACTCACCAGTGTATATACCAGCCCACTAAATCAGTGTTATCTTGGACAGTCAAAAGTGATGATCGATTCGACTTTTGTCCCCACAATAAACTGTAGAAACCGCGATGACACCGTGTTGGAGATTGTTCGCCCTCTAGCTATTCACCCACAGCTAGCGATGAAACATCATGATATGACTCCGCTCATGCCCATACATATAGACATAAGCTTGACCAAGAAAATGTGAAATTCCTGAAAATCCGGGTAACTGCAGAGGATGCCAGAAAATTTTTCGGAGCATGCACTCATGTTGGTCTGTGACCAATAGATATATAGACGTTAACCCAATCTATCAGCCGACAAGAAAAACCTAGAAGGTCAAAATCAGCGCCTACAGGGCGACATGTGTAGATGGGTATGGAGACATTAGAAAAATTTGGACGGAAACAGACGATCCAAAGCCACCATGACAAGGTTTGGAGCTATTTGCGAAGAAAAACCTAATAGGCCCCTTTTTCAACAAAGTTTGTATTAATGTTGTTGATCAAGGTGATTCTGAACCCCTGCGTTGCTTTTCAGCGTGGTCGGTCATCAGTTTTACGCACTCACGTTCTCTTATTCGTATTGTGTGGTTACTGCATCAACCATAAGGCCCCTTGGTATATGTTGGTGTCTCTGGAAGAAAAAGCTCCTAAAGGAACAATATTTGCATTTAAAAAATAAATTGTCTTTATTGATCGTATTTTAAATTACTGATAACCTAGGTCCAAGTTAAAAGAAGTTTAACTACTATTCTAACTAGCTACTGGATCCCCTGAACCTAGCGCCAATACACGCTATTTAACTTGTACAGGCTGGTCTGTTTTCTGTTGCTAGATGCAACTGGTATTAAGCTGAACACCGCGACAGTATCCCTCTTCACGTACTTAAGCCATCCCTGAATATCGGTGACAGCAGCATACTCAGATGACATCATACATTGCCTCTACTATTGAGTCCTAAGAGTCAACGTGCCGTGTTTAGAGTAAAGACTGAAGACATTCTGTTAGGCCTTTGACAACAGAGTTCCCTCAAGCAATACAAATTGTAAGGAACCAGGCATTAGTATCCTTGTTGCTTCGTCTGAGTCTTTGTGTTCTGCTCTCGAAAACCTAAGTTAACTAGATGACGTCTGACACTCAGTTTCTAATTTTCCCGGCCTAGTGTGATCATAACAAATGGCTAGAAAATCTACTAAACGGCCTATTCCGCCAAGCACTACAGGGAAAAGTAAGAGATAAAAATCTGCTGTCGAAGCCACGATACCTCCTCTGAATACGCAGAAACATCGCAAGCCCATCTCTTCGATTCCAATACAACCTGGATGCCTATGAGTGGACGAACTGCGCGAAACAGTGATTCAGAACTTTAGGAACCTACACCTTCTCCTAGTATCCTTTACACAGACATTAGAAGTCATCTCTGTGTATTTGACACACCGAAATGCAACGATTCCTTTGCTCATGTAGCGGATACACACAAGTATGCTGTCAGTGCTGACACAGTCTCCGAAATGAAGTATTACCGGCAGTGCACAGTCCCACGGCGTATTAGAAGAGAAGTCTTACCCCAGAAATACAGACTTAGATGACAGTTGCAAACCTCCGAAAACAAAAATCGATGCATCGTTACCAAGTGTCACCACTCTGTACTCGTACCTAAATGCAACGAGATATCATCCAACAAACACTAAGCCGAATGGCAATTTCGCACAAAGCCCCATTCGCCTTGATACAGTTGATCAGCAGACAGCTTGAAAACGAGCTGTAGGATATAGTAGTGGCGAAACAAGCATCAGGCTCAGTAAACCGGTGAGCAGATAAGAATTCCTCGCCAGGATTACATTATTCAGCATATGCTTCATTATATGGTAATAAAAATGGTCTAGCAAACTTAGTACAAGATTTCTTTCCCATAAGCCTGGTGTCCGACGACATTTAGAAACGCAGTCGAGCGCTTTTGCACGCACGGAAGTCCTTGCCGACTACATCTGGCGTAAACTGGTAAGGAGAGCAGAGTGCATACACAACGCCACAACTTTCATCATACCAGACAAAGCGCCCCTCAGAAATGTCAATCAGGAACTACCAGACTCCTGTGGTGTGCCGAATTCCTGGTGTGTGTGCCCAAGACTATGCCGAACCACGCATGATTTGAGCTACCATGTAATCTTCCAGTTTAGCCACACCAACTAAGCTGCAAACGTTACTGGCAACCAAAGTGCCTAAGTAGGTTAAAATAAATGTATGCAAGGCAGTGTGTCAGCGTAAAATCAAAGGAAATGAACTGGCATCATTTAGTGGAACAAAGATCAGGTCTCCCTCAATCCGTAACGATTGTTTGGAAGCTTCTGACATGCTGCTATCCCACAGAAACAAAAATTATTTTGAAGTTCCCGCACAAACAAATAGTTTCATCACATTACATGGTCTCAGTGCAAATTAATACTCAGATGGGAGCCATACTACTCAA